TATCCTCAATTTCCTAGATCTATTCTCATCAAATCTTTCAAACAATTGAATTTTAGTATATCCAAACCCTTATTTATTAGATCAAACAATCTTGATTCAAAGATTTACTAAATATTTCAAATATTTAATATCATCATGTAAATTGGCTAAACCCAAAACAAAAAAGCCAACAAAAAAGAGGATAACTATCAACTAATCTCGATGAACATGTCAGTCCTAATGAGTGGGGCGTGCTACTCTTTGATGGCCACATGTTATCCCCGCCCAATCCCACAAGTTCTAAATTGGGCACCATATTTATAGAGGAACCCATATATTTTTAGAAAATATTTTATTTTGTATTTAAATTTTTTTAAATCTTATATTTTATTTTAAAACATTGAAAAATTAATTTATCTTAATTTATAAATCCAAATCACAAAAAAAAAATATCAGAAGATTCACAAAAATTCAAATAAACATTCTAAAAATCACATAACATAAAATTAATTAATTTTGATGAAAATCATATATATTAGATCTAGGAACTTATCAATATACGGGAGTACTTCACCTTCAACTGTGAATTATGATATGTTTATCTTTCTCAAATTGATCTAGCAGTTCCTATAACCCAAAATCCAATGTAGGGGCTCATGATTGGACCACCAAAGTCAGCCTATAGACTAAGGATGCATTTCCAGTTTATGAATTTCAGGTTCTCTCTTATAGACAACAAGTCATGGTCTTCCAGACCACGGTGGACCATAACTCTATGGTGCATAGAAGTAAGCTCTCATACATTTACACGCTTCACCCTGTTTACGAAGAAAATATGACAGATCCTTCGATAAAGATCTCTCGAATTTTAACACCTTAAACTAATTAAAAAGATGTAAATAAAGTGGTAGGGAAAGTGTGACAGATCGAATTCAGATCTGAGGCCAGATTTGCCCAGAAACGAGCAGATCTACTATCAGATATGTGGCAGAGCCAGAATGATCTAGAGCATTAAAATACAAATTTTAAGACAAGTTAACAGATCAAAAATAAATAAAAGAAGCAAACCAGTAAAAGGAAGAAGAAAGAGAGAGAAAGAAATAATACCAAACCGGGCCGAATGACCCGGGATTCTCGAGCCTTCGAGGGCTCGTCCGTATCAGAACCAGTCCTCTTTGCCTCTCTGACTCGGATGTTGACCAGTAGATCTCTGGTGTAAAGGGTTAGATCTAGGGTTCTTATGCCCTAATTCTAGTTTTGATCTAGGGTTTTTGTGCCATAGGTCTAGGTTTTCTGAGTTTTGAGGATTAGGACTTCAGGAAGCTAGGGTTTCTTTTTCTAGGGTTTTCAATCTAGAGATTTTTTTAAAACTATCGGTCTTTCTCGAGGTATAGAAGAGAAATTCTTCAGTTTTCTAAGGGTTTTGTGATCTCTAGAGGTTGAATATGAATTCTGAGATTTTCTCTAATTTTTTGGGATTTTTGGAAATTTTTTCTAATTTTTTAGGAATTTTCTAAGGGTTTTTCCTATTTTTGGTATTTTGGGTAATTTTTATAATTTCGGGAATTTCTAAGGTTTTTTTGGTCTTTTTTTCTCTCTCCTTTTTAGGTTAAGGAGGGGGTATTTATAAGATTTAATTAGTGATTTTTTCTAAATTGTTTGGAGTTTTTTCAGAATTTTTTGGATTTATCTTGAAGTTTTAGCCTTATCTCATTAAAGAAAGCACGTTTACACATCATCAGATGCGTTGACTACATTATCAGCCCTGTCGGCCTGACAGTTGGGTCTCATAGGAACTAAGTTGTCATTTATTATATATTTTTATCCGTAGGTCCAATTCAGCCGATTTTGGACTGTTGGAAAGCTCTTGGGCTCTACTTCAAATTGGGATAGAATTTGGGTAGTTGTGGGGTAATTAAATTGAGTCTACCAGGATAATGTTGTCCTAATAAAAAAACCATAGAATTTACCAGATTTAAAATGAGGTGTCTACACACCCTCAGTGGTGAATTTCAATATGGCTATCTATGTACATGCCACGTGATGATATAACGATGATGTTTTTATCCCTATCTCTAAAGGTTATTCATCGCATGCAGAGACCACACAGTCCCTTAACTCTCATCTAGGTATAGTCCGATATTATCAAGGCTAATCCACTAAACCCTTCTCGTCCTTATGCCCAAGTATCTTGGGGCTTTTCTATCATTCGGCTGGCCTAGTACATCGAGTTTAGTCTGAGTATCGGCAAATCGTATTTGCCTTGTATGGTCCACACGAGGACCGCATTCCCATTAAGTTTATGTTTCACTATATAAAATGTTTTATACAATCTCTCATAAGGTATTTAAAGGCCACATAAACCAAACAATAATCACTCATTTGGTACCCAAGATCAATCATGAACATGTCAAAAGTGTTGTACCCTTGTTTTGGCGTTTGCTTGAGTCTATGTATGGATTTCTTTGACTTGCACATTAGCCGCTCTTTTTCTTTTGCAAGAAATCCTTCCAATTGCTATGTATATATACTTCATCTTCAAGTTCACTATGTAAAAAAACCATTTTTTATACCCATTTGTTCAAGATCCAAATCATGTGATGCAACAACCGAATCACTAATTTAATGGAGTCTAACTTGACAACCGTTGCAAAAATTTCAAGAAAATCGATATATTCCTTTCGTGAAAATCCCTTTGCAACTATCCTTGTCCTATACCTTTTCATATTTCCATCTATCCCATTCTTGATTTTGAATACCCACTTGCAACCAACCACTTTTCTACCATTTGACAACTCTACCAAATTCGAAGTTTGGTTCTTCCTACGAGCCAATATTTTATCTTCCATGGCTTTCTTTCATGATATGAAATTATCTCCTTCTATAATTTCTTGGTAAGTGCTCGGCTCTTTATTTATGATAATTAAATAATACTTTGGGATCCACATAGTCCTTAAACCGCTCGAGTGGACGAATTACCCTTGTAGATCTTTTTGTTATGGATGGTGCAACATCTTTATGGGAATCACTTAGTTCACCAACTTGCTCTTTTTCATCAATGACATCTTTGTTGATGCTTGTGGGTGCTTTTTTGAGTATATAACCCTCATTAGATGATGGAACATAAGGTCAAAAATCAATTTCTTGGGTGTCATTTAAGATTCTTCCTTTTCTTAAGTCTCATTCATACACCTCTTGTCAACATGGATGACTCATCAAAATGCACATCTCAACTTGTATATGTCTTTTGGGCACTTGGATCCCATAACCGATATCCTTTCATACATTTTCCATACGCAAGAAAAATGTATTTGGTTTAAGCTTATTTTTTTGGCAACTAAGAATTAAAACATGAGCATCACAACAAAAAATCGTTAAATCAAAATAATCACAAGGAGTTCCTGACCATACTCATGGGTGCTTTCTCCCCCAAAGCTGTAGAAGGTGACCAAGTGATGAGATAACAACCTGCCATCATGGCTTCGACCCATAGCTCTTGCTCAAACTCGGCATAGCTCGACATGATTCTAACTTGTTCCATCAAAGTGCAATTCATCATTTTCACAACACCGTTTTGTTGGAGAGTGTAAATTGTGGTGAAATCTCTATTGATTCTTTGATCTTTACAAAATTTTATAAATTCATCGAAATTGTACTCATTTCCATTGTCGGTGCAAAGTGCCTTAATGTGGCGTCCCATACTTTTTTCAACTTCAGTATTAAAATGTTTAAAGGCAAAAAATGCATCACTCTTTGATTTAAGAGTGAACAACCATACTTCCTTGATAAACTACCAACAAAAGAAATAAAATACATTGCACCACCACATGACACTGTGGGTGAGGGCCCCACAAATATGATTGAACATAATCAAGTATTCCATTCTTTGTATGGCTTCTAGCTTTGAAAATTCATCTGTGTTGTTTTCCATAGGCACAATGCTCATAAATTTGGATTCCCCAAATTTTATAGTGGAAATTAATTTCCTCTTCATTAAAATTTCTATAATCGTTTTTGTCAAGTGACCCAACTTCCTATGCGATAAGCATAGTGGAAGATCATTAATCTTCGCTACTGAATTTGCTGCATCATCAACAATGGAATCCCAATAATTTATACAAGTTCCTGATTCTAACACCCTGGATAACAACAAGAGCACCATTGGATATTTTGAGAACTCCCTCTTGTCCAATGAATTTATAGCCATTGGAATCTAATAAAAAAAGAGAAAATAAACTTTTCTTCAAGTCCGATACATGTTGAACATACTCAAGTGTGTGGATACTTCCATCATACATCTTTAATTTCGATGTGTCAATCCCAACCATTCTACTACTTGAATTATTTCCCGTCACCACGGAACTACCATTACATGGTTTATATGACCTAAACTATGATTTGTGTGGGCACATATGATGTGCAGTACCACTATCCAAAATCCAATTTTGATGGAATTCGAGATTGCAACCCACAACATCAAGCTCTTTTTCAATGAGACTGGGTGTAGATTCCTCTACTTGATTTACCTCATTTTTTTACTCATTGGTTGCTCTTGCTTTTTTTAATTTTTATCCCTTTTTTTTTTTAATAAATTGTTTTATATGAGCAGCTTTACCACATCCCCAACTAACAAACTTGTTTTCTCGGCCTTTAGACTTTGATTGACCATGTGACTTAATTCTTGAAGAATTTCGAGAAGAATTACCTCTCTCACTTGAATGACCCATTGAGATATGAACTTCCGATTCCGGTTTTCTAATAAATGTCTTTTTTCAGAATTCATGAACAAGCAAAGTACTACACACCGTACTTAAGTTAAATGAATCCTTTTTAGTATAACTTAATGTTACCACTAAATTATCCTAAGATTCAGATAAAATAGATAACAAGTAATATTGTTGAAAGTGTTCAAATGATCTGAAACTTTTGTCCCCTCGTTCATCCTTAAACTAAATAATGTTTTCTTTAATATAATACGGTTTATAAGACATTTGTTTTGATAAACATTTTACAATTTCTCCCACAAGCCTTTTGATGTCTTCTATCTCACTAATATTGAATAAAACTTTATTTGCTAACCACAATCGAATTGTATCCATAGTCTGAAGGTCAATTTTCTCCAATTCATCATTACTCATGGATTCTGATTCCTTTTCCTTTCCGATTAATGTTTTATATGGTCCTTGTTGAACAAAAAAGTCATAAACTTGAACTTTTTATCTCAAAATCATTTTATCTATTAAATTTCTTTACCTCAAACCGATTACTCTCCATTCTCCCAAATATATTATACAAATCTAATACTCTAATACTAGATCTGAAAAACCTGAAAGTCCAATTTAACAGATCACCAAATATCACAAACTCAAAACAAAATATGTAAAATCGCTAATTTAATAATAAGCTCAATGCATCGTGTGCAATAATTTTAAAAAAATAAATAAAAGATAGAATCATAATCATAAGAGGAAATAAAAGAGTCAAACCACAATATAAATTTAACGTGATTCACCCCGTAGAACTACGTCTGTAAGCAAACCGACAAGTAATTCCACTATAAAAAAAAAATTTACAAAAATATATAATGTTATCTCAATTGAGAAAAACGATGAAAACCATAATCGACATACCTTCTTGAAATCACAAAAAAAATCCATGATTTATCCTGTAATTCTTTTCGAATGATCTAAGAACTTGAACAACAAAATTCACACAATTTATCCATAAACACGAACAAAAAATCCTGCTTCTTCATCTCTTTCCCTTTTCCCTGTAAGCCCTAATACCTTTTTTTTAAAAAAAAAAGAAGAGTAAATAAGAAAAAGTGAATCGTATGCCCAAAAATATTCAAGTCGAGATGAAAAGACCCTTAAACAAATGTAGAAAAAAATGCATATAAAGGTAATTTTTTATCTTCATTAACAAGAATAGGAGAGTAGCAATGGTAGGATGGGTTAATAGGAGTGTAGCAATGGTAGGAATGAAAACCACAAGTGGCAAGGTGGAAGGGCACCACTAGATAACCTACTAGCAAGGTGGAAGGGCACCACTAGATAACCTACTAGCCCCTTTCCTGGTAATATGCTACCTTCTTGAACGCAACGGCGATTTTCGGATATGGTCAACAGCCTTATTAATGAATTGGGGCAAACAATCTTATCTCTTAAGCATATCTAGTCTTTGTTTTATGTTCATTTTTCCTTGGGCGTTCAATTAGTACGAACGGCAGCGCGCTCTCAACCAGCACACACCCATCCAATCCAATCCAATCCAATCCAATCCAATCCAATCCAAGCCGTTCATCAACCAAAAAGACAGAAATGACCTCAAAAGGTCAAGAAAGACCAAAGCCTTCCGCGCCGGCCGCACGAAAGTACCGAAATACCCTCAAAAGGTTGCCAACCATCCCAAAGCAGCAAAAAAGACGGAAATGCCCATGCCAACACAAATCCAATCCGCCATCCACTCGCCCTTTATCCTCCTCTCTTTCTCCCTTCTCTGAGCGCGCACGTGTGACGCGTAACCCTCAATGGATCTCGTCCGGTCACAACCCCTCTTACACGAGGCCGCATGGGCCAGAGTCATGACCCCCTCGCTCCCCCACACGCGTGAGCCACCCGAGTCCTCGACCTCCAAGCTTATGCCTGCCATCTTTAAACAGGCGCCACCCCTATCGAGCCTACACCGAACCGATATGACGACGAACCGAGCCGGCCCTCGAGCAACGACCGAGCCAAACCGCACCAAGAAGTCGGTCTCACTAGGCCAGTGACCCTGGATCACAACGGGCTCCCAGCTCGACAGATTAACCCCCTTCCTCTCTCCTCTCTTGTCAACGGAAACCCAACTCAGTCTCAAATTCTTCTGCAATTTTCGACAAATAGAGGCCGTTCCTTTTTCTCTCTTCCGCAACAGACACATCAATGGCATCTCATCATTGTTGTCATCTTCTTCGTCACCCCCATTGCCCTCGAAATTGAGGAGATCGATCCGGAAGGGGCCTTCGGAGAAAAATCCATATGGGTATTTTTCCTCCGAGCTCATACCCCATAAAACCTTGGAGAAAATGCATTTTCCCCTGTAAAAAATATCTACAAGAGAAACAAGGTCAGCCGCCTCGACCGACCCCGAGCTCAAGCCATGCTCAACCGAGTCCGGTTGGGTGGGCTCGTTCAGGATGAGGGGGAAAGAGTCGGCAAAGAATTTCACGAACCCACCTTTTGTAGACTTGACCAAGGCTTGAACTTGAGGGTCTAAGGTAGAGGGCCATGTTGCGTTACATAGGGTGTGCCAGAGGGCCTCGTCTCGAGCCGCGGCTCGTAGGTGGGTGCACGAGGAGGCGGCAGAGGCGAGCGCGGGTCCGTCAAGGTGAGCCATGATATCGTTTAGGAGGTCCTGGTTTAGGCATTCTATGTGCCCTTCTATCATCTTGGAAAGGGCAAACAAAGAAAGAGAGGGAGTTGATGTACGCAAAAGAGAGGGTTGGAGGAGTATAAATGAGGAAAATTTTAGAGAGAGAATTGGATAAAAAAAAAAAAAAGATTTTAGAGAGAGAAAGATGGTGGGCGGAAAGGTCGGAAGGGCCGCGTCGGAGACTGGGAATTACGCGGGACGGTCGTGGTCACTGCACACAGTTGGATGGAGGAGTATGTGCAGGGTTAGAGGAAGAGATACGTTGCCGCATTAATGGCTTCAATTCAACGGTGGTGAGACCAGCTCTACATAGTAGGGCCTTACCAGCATCCTAGGTCTGGGTCGAGACATGGTCGTTAACTGGCCAGCTTTGCCCCAAGCCAGCTCTTTGTTTATTTAATTTTTTTTAAATTAAATCCGGCCTGGCTTGAATAGCGGTTCAGGTCCTCATTGGCCTGGTCTGAGCTTGGGCCAGCCTGCTAGATAATAGGGCTGGATTGGCCTTAGGGCATGCCGGGTATTGCCAAGCCATCACACCATTGTTTAAAACAATGTTCGAGTGCTTGGCCGGAGTACACGCGTGTCCCACTCACGGATTATAAAAAAATTATAAATAAAATTTTTATTTGTGATATAATTTATATGTTTTCTACCAATTTTGCAAAGATTGAAAAGTGTTTTCATCCTAATCACTTATTTACATTTTCTAAGTTTTTGAATTATTTTAAAAAGATCCTCATCTTTAAATTTTTTTTATTATTTTTATAACATTATTTTGATGTGTTTTGTTTAATTTTATTTATTTTTTTTTTTTATTTTTTAAAATTTTAAACAATTTTTTGTTTGCTACTCAAACTGGGTTACGCAGACTCAAGTAGAGAAGTAGGCCCGAATACTGGCTTCGAACACACTGGCTTAAAAAGCATCAATCAGCTTGAAAACCGTCGGGGACTGCTCGAGTGGGTGCGTCAGGCCCATTCCAAGCATTAATGGCGTTGAAATGCCTAGAACTTTAAAACAATTAGAGTATTAGGAAAATTACAAAGATATTATGTACATGGATATGGATTCAACCTCACAGATATCGGGCGTCCGGCCACGTATCCATTTTATCGTCCACCACGTGGATCATATGAACAACGTGTTAAAAAAAAAGTACATGTCATATTAAGAGCGTGTTTGATTATCGGAAGTTGGAATATCCTGAGAGGTAGCAGATCTCTCTCTATGGAAGTTGGTACCTCTTGGGAGGTGGAATAGGCAATATCTGTGATTGATAGGCTGCTGGAATTTTTAAGAATCCTGATAACCTATGTTTGATAAGTTGTTTGGAATTTTTTGGAAATCAGGGGTACTTTCTCCATTCTCACTAACAGCACTTATTTTTTGCATGATATTTTATTGCTATAAATTTTGAATTGAATAAATTTTACTATCTATACTGAAAAATCAAAAGACACATTTAAAAGTCACAGTCATACCACATACCATCGAAAGAGTTTAACTAAGAAGGAAAAAAAAAACAAAACAAAACAATTACATATCACCACAAAATGAGTGTCTATGACATAAATAAAAAAAAAGAAAACACCAAAATGATAAATAATTGGATAACTCTAACGATTGACATAGGCATGCCACATTTGCATCTCGTAATTTCACATCCTCGTCGTGATCATCTGCACTCTGGTTTTGTGGACTTCTACGACATCTAGTTATTTTCGGTTGGATCTCAATGGCTATTCTCAACAACACACTCATTTTTTCTATAGATGATAAGTGTACAAGAACATGGGACTCTACCTCTTATCATCTATAGAAAAAATGATTTTATATTTTTGGTCGATGTATCCTATACAGAGAGCAAGGAGTAACACTTATGATCATCTCCCAATCAAATGCAATTTTTGTTGGTCTTTTTGGCCAAATATACCGAGACTATTCCATGATGGGAAACAAGGGCCCATATGCTTCTTCACTGCCCTTTTACCTATGAAATTTGGTGTTGGTTTTTAGCACTGTTACGTGTCCCTCTAGCCTTACCTGCGGATGTGTTTGGGGTTCTGCATGCATGCATTATCTATCCCTTCGTTGCCTCAGACTAGTAAGGTTATTTGGCAGATAGCACAAGGGGTGATCCTTTGGGAAATTTGGAAGGAAAGAAATAGAAGAGTTTTTTATGGGACTAGTTTGCCACGTGAAAGAGTGCTGGAGCTAATCCTTCACTCTATTTGGATGAATTTATCGATCCAGAAGGTGGGGAAAGATATTGTTGAGGTTGATGTGAGATATAATTTGTCGACTCTGTTCCACCAGGGTGGCCGAAGGATTAGACCTATTGGTAGATAGTCCGCGCTTGCTACGGGGGTTTTTAAGTTAAATTTTGATGGTAACTCATTTGGTAACCTAGGTAATGCAGGTTATGGAGTTGTTGTGAGGGATTGGGAGGGTCAAATATTGCTTACTTATACAGGTTCTCTGGGGGAGAAGACATCTAATTATGCAGAATGTTATGCACTTCTTTAGGGGCTTAAACTTTTCAAGGCTAAGAGTTTTGACACGAGTTGTATTATTGAAGGGGATTCTTTGAATGTCATCAATTGGTACAATAAGGAAAAGAAGGGCCCGTAGGAGCTAAAGTCTTTTATGTTGGAAACTCTCGACCTCTCTTGGTCTATATCTGTTTCCTTTGTTCATGTCCTACGGGAGGCCAGTGGTTTGGCTAATTCCCTTGCGAAACATGGCTCTTCTCTTGTTGAAATGTTGGTTTCTGATGCTATTATCTCTTAATTTCGTTGTACATTTTTTTGATTGATTAATAAAATACTGGAACTTCTTCCAAAAAAAAAAAAAAAGTTCCATGATCATAGGCTTTTCTTGCTTATTGGTAAGTCTATTCCATGATATATAGGTTATACGTAGCACCCATATTCATGTATGAATGCAATGGATTTTGAGAAAGATAACCCAAAGGAGTGATTGGTAAAATTTCTATAATGTAAGAGATAAATGCAAAGAAAAACATGGTGTGATGAATCCAAGCTGGAGAAAGAGACTAGGAATATTACTTTGAGAATAGCTGAGAGAGATACTTTGCTAAGGATTTGCTGGTGTTAGGGGGACTTCTTTGAGGAGAGAAGTGCGTATGGGGAAGGAGGATTTATTTGGGAAGAATCGATACTAACAGAGTGGGAGATTTGGTTTCCATAGAGCAGGCTTCCACCGTGGGGCATGGAAATTAGTGGAATCATTTTTTGGATGTACGTGGATTGGTGGCATTCCACGCACGTCTAAGTATTTTTATGTCATATGAAAGATATTGTATGGTGGGACTTTTGGTTCCCACTTCCTAAAAGTTCCACCAAACAAACACGCCTTAAGAAAGATTTAGAGGATCAGAGCCATGTCAAGTATCGCCAGCGATTTGTATAGATCCTTGGCTCTAAACAATCAAAGTAAAGTATAGTTTTAAGTAGTGTCGAGAAATATGATTTAAATACTGAAAATCTTTGTGATAGCCTTAAAATATATTTTTATTTTTAATTAAATTTAAAGCTTTAAAAATAGTGTAGATCGAACATATTTATAAAAACTTGAAAATCTTGAAAATTGGCGGTCTAATACAAGATGCATTATTTCTAAAATGTCGAGATGATCAATTTGAGCATCAAAACAACTTCTTTTAGTAAAATTTTTGAAGTGGGCTCTAATTTGATTGTTTAGAGTCTCGACTCTATAAATTTTTCCCCCATAACGATCATCGTCACTCTAATTATCTTCCAGTTGCTTAACTTATAAGTCCTAAAGCAGCGTCTCTAAGGCTAGTCCACGTTTCATGCTTGCTTGCTTTCCAAGTGCCCCTATAGTCTCATCATTATCATCATCTCACATCATCTCATCTAACTTGTGCTATTGATTCTGACCATCATCTCCTTCCTCATGTAGCCTTTTATAAGGAAGGTCTTGAATGGGAATAAATGAACTAAAGTGTGGGGAGAGGAACTAAAGTGTCATTTAGTTCCCTACACTTTGTTGACAAAATGAGAACGAATTCATAATGAAGGTCTTGAATAGAAAAAAATGAATGTATGGGGTTTATGTAGCCTTAGGTCCAAATAAGTGATGGATTTCCTAATAAGGTTAGTTACAAATTTTTTTTTTGCATCCATATAGACAAAAAAACTTGTTTATGGAGCAAATCTGATGAGATTTGAAATGAAACCCTACCACATTTTTGCAATAAACCGTTAAATATATAATTGATAAAGAGGGTCCTTCAACTTACGGTTCAAAGACAAATCTTGTGCTCGAAAGATTAGTCGTCCTTGAGAACCACTAGCATAGCCGATTTGAAATAACACAAAACCACCAAAAAAAAAAGCCTCGAAAACAAGAAAGAAATAGAAGGGGAAAAACTAAAAATCATAAAAAATAAAGACTTATTTGGAATCTTGTGCCTATGGCCTAGCTCCTAGAGTTGGTGGCTTGGATTAGACAAGCGACTGAAGTACATCTGTCCTCGATCACATATCTTTTGCTTGAATGAGAGATACATAGGGCATGTTCACATGGGGTTTCGGTTTCTTACAGCATTCTTCTTTCTAAGGTTTCGAATTTGAAATTAAGGCTTTGATATTGAGGTATAATGATTGTAGATAATTAGGATTTCATGATCTAGGGTTTTCTAGGGTTTGGCTGGCCAGGGGTTAGGGTTTTCTCTCCTTCTATTATAGGGTTTACGCCAGGCCAAGGGAATTTTCGAGTATTTTCCTAAGGATTTTGTAGGATATTTGGTAACGCTAATTTCTAAGGGTAATGATTTTCTAGGCTTTTAGATGATTAATTATGGTGGGTAGGGGGATTTTGTATAGGATTCCATTGTGGTAATTCTAATAGGATTAGGAATCATCCTAGGCTTGACGATAGAATTTGACCGCTCAAATCCATCCTAAGAACCCATACACAGATGTTATAGAAAATCCCAGAAACTTCTAAAGAAAACCCCATACCCAAAAATATTTACATTTTTTTTCAGAGTAAAAATAGGGCAACAGCAAGAGGGAAGTTGTAGGGCCCTTTGGGC